GAGAGCGGCTACTCTCACTGGTAATGACAGAGCCCAGGGAATTACCACGGGAGGCTGGAGTAGGACAGAGGACTAGATCTTTGGGGTTTGCTGGAGGGCTGGGAAGCCAGAGTACGGGACAGTCCTCTTGGAGAAGTGCCCGTGTCAGGATCTGTTGAGTGACCTTGGGCAAGTCATTTGGCTGCTTGGTGCCTCAGTCTTCATGTCTTAGGGAGGAACGGTAGTATTTCTGCCTCACTTGAATTCAGTAAGATGGAAAGCACCACATCTGGAGAACACCTGTGCTCAGGAAACAGCACAGCTGGGAGTTAGCTCAGACCCGAGTCCCTAGGAAACCTTAAAAGGTGCTCTTACTCTTTAATTGGTGAAAAATTAAAAACTGTGGTGGTAACAAGTTTATCTACGCACTGGGAGCCGCTTCCCAATGTTTTTACTGTTTCTGTGAGACACTGATCAGGGAGGATTGTAGACCACCTACCCACCCTTCCTTCCTTCTTCCTCCTTCCTTCTTCCTCCCTTCCTTCTTCCTTCTTCCTCCTTCTTTCTTCCTCTTTCTTTCCTTTCGTCCTTCCTCCTTCCTTCCTCCCCCTTCCTTCTTCTTCCTTCTTTCTTCCTCTTTCCTTCCTTTCGTCCTTCTTCCTTCTTCCTCCTTTCTTCCTCTTTCGTCCTTCCTCCTTCCTTCCTCCTTCCTCTTTCTTTCCTCTCCTTTCCTTCTTTTTTCCTTCCTCCTTTCCCCTCCCCTTCACCCTTTTCATCCCTCCTTCCCTTTCTACCCCTTCTTTCCTTTCTTTCTCTTCAAAGGTTTTATTTTTACTTTGTGTGTGTGTGTGTGTGTGTTTATATGTGTGTGTGTGTGTGTGTTTATATGTGTGTGTGTACGCACATGTGTGTGCCTACCACATGTGTGTGAGTCCCAGTAAAGACAGAATAGGGCATCAGGTCTTCTGAAGGAGTTACAGATGGTTGTGAGCAGCCATGTGTGGGTGCTGGGACCAGAACTCGGGTCCTCTGGATGAGAAGTATGTGCCTCAGCCATTGAGCTATCTCTCGGCCCCTTTTCTTTCTGTTTTAGAACAAGGTCTCACTATGTGGCACAGCCTGGCCTCAAACTCATAATTCTCCTGCCTCCACTTCTCAAGTGCTGGGATTGGGTGTGTGCCACCGTGTCCCACCCTTATGTTATTGTTTCTGAGAGTTTTCAAACACCTGGGAAGACGGGGAGAAGAGGACAATGTGAGTGTTATTTTTATTAATTATTAAACTCTAATTAAGAACTTCATTGGTGTTTTATTTAAAAAAAAATAGTTATTTACCTACAGTTCTTTTAACAGTTTTCTGTTATTTCTTCCCAACAGAAGCCCAAATAAGGGAACCCAAAGAAATGTGTCAAGAAGGCTTGTCTAGACTAGCTCTGAGCAGCTGCAGTAAACAGACCGAGTGCTCGCTGGGAGAGAGGAGGACACTAGCAGCAGCCCCAGAACTCATGGACTCCATGCTGGAGTCTCGAAGACACCCCAGCGGCAGCCTCCAGAAAGAATTTCCCCAGGTATTCTAGAATTAACTAGATAACTGTGTGAGACGCAGGCTCACTGGGGCAGCATTCATTCATCTATTCCAATCGACTAAAATATCAGGAAGCCAATTTACATGCTTCGGAAGAAGGCTTTGCATTGGGATGGCCTCCCTCTGCCAGCTGTAGGTGTTTGAACAAGCGGACTTCACGAGGCTCAATTGCGTCACCTGTTAATCTGACATGAACTCAGCTATGACAGATCGGTCATGAGGGTGTTAGTGTGTGCGCATTATTACTTTCCCTATCACCGTGTTACACACCTTACGGAAGTAACTAAAGGAAGAGAGGTTTATTCTGTCTCCCGGCTTCAGGAAGGCTCACTAGGGCAGTGCCACCTGCAGTGGAGGAGTGGGGGGCCGCAGCGTCCATATCCTGGAGGGTCAGGAAGCAAAGAACTAGACCTGACCGGCTGTGTCCACCCACTATTGGCCATGCCCCAAAGGGTCCACAGCCCCACTAGCTGGGGAGTGGGGGCAGAGGGCATTTCACATTTACATCATAACAGTAAGCAAGTGTGTTGATGAAGAGCAGAATAAACTGAAACTTTTGTACCCCACTAATAGGAAGAAAACTCATTACAACTACTTTTAAAAGTAGGCATCGTGTGTGTGTGTGTGTGTGTGTGTGTGTGTGTGTGTGTGTGTGTACTGTGTGCATATTAAGGTCTTCCCTATTCTCTCCACCTTTTGAGGCAGGGTCCATCACTGAACCTGGAGCTCACTGGGTTTGGATAGGCTGACTAGTCAGCGTGCTTCAGGGATCTGCCCATGCCTGTTCCCCCACTGCCAGGCCTGGCTTTAATGTGTGTACTGAAGGTCTGCCCATGTCTGCTCCCCCACTGCAGGCAGGAACCAACTTCTGTTTCTTGATTTTGTTAAGGTGAAATCTGAGAAAAATCTGTCAGCCTTTGCAAAAAGAACATCAGAACCATCAGGAGACCGGGCAGCAGTCTCTATAGACTAAACTCTATAGACTGTCATTGGTGTTTTTGATCATAGCCATTCTGACGGGTGTAAAGTGGTATCTCAGAGTCGTTTTGATTTGCATTTCTCTGATGACTAAGGATATTGAGCATTGCCTTAAATGTCTTTCAGCCATTTGAGATTCTTCTTTTGAGAATTCTCTGTTTAGCTCTTTAGCCCATTTTTTAATTAGACTGTCCAGTATTTTGATGTCTAGTTTCTTGAGTTCTTTATATACTTTGGAGATCAGTCTTCTGTCAGATGTGGGGTTGGTGAAGGTCTTTTCCCATTCTGTAGGCTGTCTTATTGACCGTGTTAAAGTAACTCTTTTTAAAAAGAATATACATACTTGGGAATTAACGAAGCAAGTAAAAACGAAGACTATTTAGGGCACCATTCACGTTAGTGGTGCCGTCCCTCTTGTCAAATGATACATGTGTTTACATTGGGTTTTGTGATGATGTAAACATAGTCTGTCAGTGTGTTGGTTTGGACCGTGTGGAATTGTTTTTTACAAGTACAAAACCCTCAATTACCCGTAATTTTGTTTGGTTCAACCTAATCAACGACATGCACACGGGTGGAAATGCTGTTTGCTGCTTTCCTCTACTGTTCTTGAAGCATGGACGGGAGCCACGTGTCTTCAGAGCACAGTGGCTGTTAGCTTATCACTAACGCAGTTTCATTTCAGCGTCAGAATGAAGACACAGAGCCTCAGAACTGCCTCTTGAGGGAAGTGGAATGCATAGCACAGAGGCTGGGGGCGTCCCTGGAGGAGATCCAGAGGACAGCAGAGGAGCCACAAGAGAAGAAGAACGAACAGAGAAAGTTAGGTGAGCCGTGGCTTCAGACAACCATTGTAGCCATGGATTACTGGGGTGATCTGGGGGGGATATTCCAAGGGGAGAAGAACTCAAAGGTGAACGTGTAAAGACTTATTGCTACTGTGTCCCCAAGTCTTCAGGAAACACAGGCTTGGCAGGCCCGCCCCAAAGGCACAACCCAGAACTGTGTGTCACTCACCACTAGGAGTCCCAGCACCCAGAAGACCCATTTGTTCCTTCACCCTAACTCTGGGTCCTCCTTCCTCACCAAAAATAACCGCCACCCTACTTTGAATACTGTTTCTGAGTTCTGACCACATGCAGTATCGTTCATTTAAAATTTTATTTTGTTTTTATGTTATGTGTATGAGTGGTTTGCCTGCACGTATGTCTGTGTACTGTGTGCATGCCTGGTGATAGCAGAGGCCAGAAGAGGATATCTGATTTCCTGGAATCTGAGTTGTATACAGACAACAGTAGTGAGCTGCCGTGTGGGTGTTAGGAATTGAACTTGGGTCCTCTGCAAGAGCAGCCAGAGCTCTTAACCACTGAGCCATCTTTCCAACACCCCCCCCCGATTGTTTTTAAAAAATAAAAAACTTTAGAATGAGTATGATGGTGCACACCTTTAATCCCAGCAGAAGCAGGTGGATTTGAGGCCAGCCTGGTCTACTTAGTGAGTTCCAAGACAGCCAGGGCTATGTAGAGAGACCTTATCTCAAAAAATAAAAAAACTTTAAAATTACATTAAAATTTTTATTTTGTATATGCTTGCAAATGTAGGCGACATGCTAAGGCACACATGTGGAATCAAAGAACAGCTTGAAGGAATTGGTTCTTTCCTTCTTCCGTGTGGGTCGCCACCACCATTGAACTCAAGTGGTCGGGCTTGGGTCAGGGACCTCTTTCCTCTGAGCCTTCTCGTGTGCAATATCCATTCTTTCCGTTTGTTCTCTTGCTTAGTCTCAGGCCCGCTCACATTATTTCCTGTAGCGGCCTTTATAATAATTCCACTGATGCCACACTGATCCATTCCACTGTCGATGGGCTTTGTGCTGTTTCTAGCTGGGGCTACCATGAGTTCTGATGCCGTGAACATTCTTGCACTTCTCTTGCGGGTATTTACGCATTTCTAATCTGGATAAGAACGCAGTTTCTGGACCAGAGACTGTGTGTCAAAATACAGTCATGTGCTGGGGGGAGGTCTTTTGCTCCACCCCTTGGCATTCCTATAAAAAGCCCTTTTGAAGAGACAGAAGGGGCTGGTAGATATTGATCCAGGTCTTCCTGAGGCTATCCTGTTTAGGCTATAAATATTTAGGCTTGCTTTTGGTTTTGCCAAATGGGAACTCTATTTATCAAATCCAGTTTAGGAGAGCACTTACCTACTTTCTGTCTCTAGAGTTGCCTTTTCTGGACATTTCATATAAATGGAATCATACATGAGTTTGCGCATCTGTTTTCTTTCACTGAACACGCTTTTGAGATTCAACCATGAAACAGGTATAACTGCTTCATTCCATTATACTGCAATATAAGCTAACCCCTGCTGTTTTTCAGGTTGTTGGTTTTTTTTATAATAGCAACCATAACACGCATAGAATTTTGATTTCTACTTCCCTATGACCAGTATAAAGTATATTTTATGTGTTTACAAGCCACATACATAATGAAAAATGTCTATTCAATGCTTTTTGTAACTAGTTTTATTGTTTTTTTTCAATTTTATTTATTTTATTATTTTATGTGTATGGGTATTTTGCATGCACATATTTCTATATATCATGTGCCTGTGGAGGCCAGAAGAGGACATCAAATGCCCTAGAACTGGCATTAACAGACAGTCATGAGCCACCATGTGGCTGAGAATCAAACCCAAGTCCTCTAGAAGAGCAACCAGTTCTCTTAAGCAATGGGCCATCTCTCCAGCCCCCTATTATCTCTCCAGCCCCCTATTTATTTGTTTTTTGAGACCAGGTCTCATCATGCAACTCTGGCTGGCCCGGAATTTGCTGTGTAAACCAGGCTGTCCTTGAATTTAAGGATCCACCTGCCTCTGCCTCTTGAATTCTGGGATCAAAGGCGTGAGCACAGCCACACTCAGCCAGCCATCGCTGCTTTTTAACAGTGGGATTTCTCTCTCTCTCTCTCTCTCTCTCTCTCTCTCTCTCTCTCTCTCTCTCTTTTAAGTGCACAGGAGCAGGGAAGGAGGTTGAGGATGGAGACAGGGTTTCTCAGCCTGGGCTGTCCTGGAACTCACTCTGTAGTTCAGGATGGCCTCGAACTCAGAAATCTACCTACCTCTGCCTCCTGAAGTGCCAGGATTATAGACATGGGATTTCTGTGTTTTTTAACTGTGGAATTTCTAGTGTAAACATTCTGGATATTAACCTCTTATGAGACGGGTGATTTTCAAATACTTCCTCCTCTGAATTGTGAGCAGCCTTTTCTAGCAAACGTGGCCAGTCTACCAAAACCTGCTATTCCATAAACCTCCCTCACCTTGTGAAACCATGCCTATTTATCCAACCCCCGAATGCCAGGCATTCCTGAGATTGATAGTCACACCCTCCACCTGCACCATTATGAACGAGTCTATCGAATCAGATAGTGAGATTGTAGAGTGGAACACCCCCACCACCCTGCCTCAGGGTGAACACTAAGGGCCTCCTGCCAGAGTGTGCTCACCCCTGTGGACCATTGTGCAGCCTTTTGCCTTGTTCACGTCTGTCTCTTTGTGTGACGCCAGGAATATTCTCCAGCACTTTTCACAGATCTTCACCCTGTTGATAGTGTCCTTGGATGGGCAAAAGGTTTTCATTTGATACAGTTCAATTTACCTTTTTATTCTTTTGTTGCTACTAATTTTGGTAAAAGATTAAATAAATTATTGTCACACTCCCTCCCCCGAAAACAAAACACCTGTATGCCTAGGCTCTAGTTGGGCATGGTGGCGCACACCTTGAATCCCAGCAATCAGGAGGTAGAGGCAGGAGAATCTCGGTGAGGTTGATGCCAGCCTGGTCTACAGAGCAAGTTCCAAGACAGCCAGAACTATATAATAGAGAGCCCCTGTCAAAATAAACAAACACACAGAAACAAAATACAACAACAACAAAAGACCCACCATATCTAGAGTAATAACTTAAGAAATGGACTTAGAAAATACAAGTGTGAATTCAGTAGAAAGGTCTTAAAAATGTAACAAAGCCTGCCTGGCATGGTGGTGCATGCTTGTATCAGCATTTGAGAGGCTGAGGCAGGCGTGTTGTAAATGCAAGGCCAGTGTTAACAGAATGAATTCCACTCTGGGCTGTGTAGCAAAGCCTTCTCTCAAAAGAGAAAATTTCCAACCAATCCTAGGATTGTGACTCATTTAAGACTAATGAAAAGCCAGAGTTGTCAAGTTATTCACAAACAAGGCAGGAAAAGCAGTCTGACCAGCCAAGCTTAAGGAACTGGTTGTCTCCGTTAATTTTTAAATTGGGAAAACTATATTTGGCTGTGTCATTCTAAAAGTAGATTTTATTTATTTATTTTTGGTTTTTTTTTTTTTTTTTTGAGACAGGGTTTCTCTGTAGCTTTTGGAACCTGTCCTGGAACTCACTCTGTAGACCAAGCTGGCCTCAAACTCACAGAAATCCACCTGTCTCTTGCTGCGGGCCACAGGAATATAAGAACTCAGCTGGTTATGGCAAAGTCACTACCTGGAGGAATCAGGGAATTCCTCCAGAGGAAGCCAAATCCCAAGGAGTTTTTGGTGCTACTTGGCTTGTTATATATCAGCTGTATTCTGTTATGAAAATCATGTGTGCCTTCATAGATTTCCCAGTTGACTTTTCCCTAAGAAGGGCTAACAGTGTGGACTGATCACTCTCTGGACATACACATTCCTGTATGTATTTGGAGAACAGCCTCAGGAAAGGCTTTCTCTGGAATCAGATATCTCCCTTGGCTACTTTCAAGGACTAGCAGTAATAACAGTCCACATGCAAGTCTCCTGATTTAAGGTAAATTCCACAAGGAGACACCACCTAGGTCAGGTGGACGTTAAGTAATAGCTTTATACAATTTAGCTCGGACCCTCCTTTCTTACAGTCTTACTAACTTTATAGACCTCTAACTCCTTACCTAACCACTTCTAGGAATATTTAGATAACCTTCTGTGCTGACAGCTATGCTCAGCCAGAACCCCAGTTCAAGCCTCCCTGTAATTATCATCATTAGCAGCATCCGGCCAGGTCCATCCCCAGTTGGAGGAAAGTACCTTATCAGAGATACCTCTGTACTCTCTAAGAACAGACTTAAGCATCCAGACTACCTGTTTGAGAAGGCCTGGCGGATGTGCCAGTTAAGCCTTACTTCCTCCTTTCCCAAACCTTACCTCCAGTTCCAGATCTCCCTTTAACTATCACCAGAGGCATCTAGCTGTATACAGGTTGTCTAGCGACTGAGCACACTTTCCCCCACCCTGCAGAAAAACGGCAGATAGCTTGAACAGATAGGAGCCACAGGAAAAAAGAAGACAGTTTTATTTTCTCCCATTGACCTAGCAACTTATAGATTCTTAACACTTTCTAAGATTATAGTTGAGCACATAAGAGCCCTCTTCTTAGATATTACCTGAATTTAGCCTTTAGTTAATCCATTTCCCCATTGGTCACTTCCCTTTGGAGTTGCAAATGGTAATTAATGGTTATTGCCTCCTTATGTGATTCTTATCACCCCTCCATTTGACCCTGAAAGCCTGGTTTTGCACTGCTAAGGGAATACTGCTTGTAAGTGTATATATACCAGGATTCCCAGGGCACGAGAGGACAGAGAAGAGAAAAGAGAATGGAAGAACTAGATGGGTAAGAACTTGAGAGGAACAAACTGAGATGGGGAAGAACTAGATTGAAGGGCTAGAAGAGAGTACTAGAGGAATGAGATGGAAGATGAGAAAGAGCCAGATGGGGAAGAACAAGATGAGGTAGAACGAGAAGAGGAGAGAGGAGATGGGAGAGGAAATGATATGGGAAGGAACAAAATGGATGAGAACCTAGAAGGGGCAGAACTAGATGAAGGAATTAAGATAGAACCTAGAGGGGATCGCAGACAAGTGTAGAGAGAAATCAGGCTAAAGATGACCTAAATATGAGAGCAGAATATAAGCTTATAACTGACACAGAATAATAAAGTATATGGACTAAGGAGTTTCGTGTACATAGATTCATTTCTTCTCATCAAAGATTAATTATCAGCTGGTTGTAGATTCTTCCCAGACCCTGGGAGGGGACTACTGAGGGGCTGGACCCCCATAGTCCTCGATAGTCTCTGCCTCCCAAGTGCTGGGACTAAAGGCATGTGCCATCACACTCAGCTAGATTTTATTTTTGAGACAGGGTCTTACTATGTAGCCTTGGGTAGCCTCAGGCTCACTGTGTAGGCTAAGCTAGCTTCAAACTCAGAATCCTCCTGCCTCCACCTCCTGGTGCTGGGATTATAGATATGTGTCACCACTGCATCCACAGCCCAGTTTTTAAAATGAAAGCCAACTGTTTTCTGAATATCTGGAGTACCTCAGAACTTTTTAACATTTTGGAAGCCCCGGGTTCACTTCAAGTTGGGGGAGCAAACAAGGCTTTTCGGTGTGTCTACAGCATACATCCCACACTCGCCCCGACCCTTTGCTCTGCAAACCCAAGCGGCTCCGGATCCCAGTAGTTCCCGGAAGCCCCATGTAGTTCCCGGAAGTCCCATGCAGTTCCCGGAAGTCCCGCGTCTCTCCTGCGTTCTCTCCGTTACTCATGCTGCTCTCTTTCTCAAACATTCTTTCCACCTGCGGTCCCTCTGCTTGCCCTTCTTCCACAAAGGAGTTCCGTGGAAAGCTTGTTTTAGTGGCACAGAAACCATCCCGTCTCTGGGGCAGAGAGAACAGCCCTGGGTGTGCAGCCCCGCCGAGCTATTTATCTCCCTCGGCACTGAGCAGGTTGCTCTAGTTCTCTGTTGCTTGTCTCACTTGCTTATTGGGATGTGGGTACCTGCATTGTAGATTTGTCATAATAACGCGCCTGAGAAGAGGAGCGGTTGCTCCTGGAGGCGGCAGCAGAAATAGTCTTGCTATAATTAGAATGTAGTTTCTTATGAATCTGGTGGGTGATAGTGGGATTTGTCCTGAAGGACTGAGTGTTGCCGCCATAATAATGAAACGTGCACAATGGTGTGGTGCACTCATGGTGTGGTTAGGCGTGTTCTCTTATAAAGCTCAGTGTTTGCCTCTTAGTGTTAGCAGATCCTTCATTCTAATGGTTTAGGAAACCTGCTAACCCATCACAGTGAGGAGCCCGCAAGGAGCAAAGGGCCACAACCTAACTAGCAGGTTGAACGTCCATCAACCCCAGTGCCCCGTCTGCTGTTCTCAGGTAATCCTTTGTACCCCTGAGGGTTAATATTTTCAGGACCTAGAATCACCTAGAAGACAACCCTCTGAGCTTCCCTGTAGTCTAGTCTCTAGATTAGGTCCACAGAGGTAGGAAGAGACACCCTAAATGTGAACAGCAACCAGGTCCTGGACAGAAGAAAGGGGAGAAAGTGAGCCGAGCTGTAGTGTTCATCTCTCTGTTTCCTGGCTTTGGGTATGACGTAACTTTATGTATGTTACTTCTGCCATGACAGTCTGTACCCTAAACCTGAGCCCACGTCAACTCATCGTTCCTAAGACACTTTTGTCCAGTATTTTATCCTAGGGATGAGGACAATGACCATCATAGTACCAAAAACTATTCCTGCATTTTGTTATTTTCACTTCTAGCAGATATTGGAAAAATTCTCAATACAGTTCACTTGCCACATAGTGATATTTTGGTCAGCTAGAAAGCTATGTCCAACAGTGGTTCCATAAAATTAAATCACCAAATAACACTGTAGCCACCTTACTATTCAAGTATACCTTATGATGTTTATACACTGATAAAATTACCTTGCAACAGTTTCTCAGAACACACTCCCCCATCCTTAAGTGAGGCATGACTGTTTTGTGCATGCTTTAAACATTCAGCTGCCCTTGGAACCTCAGTGATCCAAGCCCTTCAGCATGTAATCTTATAAGAGAATGGTTAGAGCCCGGAGTGATGGCACATGCCTTTAATCCCAGCACTTGGGAAGCAGAGGCAGGTGGATCTCTGAGTTAGAGTGCAGCCTGGTCTACAAAGCAAATTCCAGGACGGCTAGGACTGTTAGGCACACAGAAGAACCCTGTCTTGAAATACTTAAATAAATAAATAATATAAATGAATAAGAAGAGAGAGAATGATTAGGAAACGTTTGAGGTCAGAGGTCAATGGAGTAAATATGGGACTCATAGGAACACTAGAAGGGCACCCAGGGAAGCTTCCAGATAGGTTACATTTCTGTAGAGACTCAGAGGATGAGTCTCTTTTAAAAGAGGAAAAAAAGGTATGAAATTTTATTGTTATATGAGTCATTTACTTCTTTGGGTTTTTTGTTGTTGTTGTTGTTTTGAGACAGGTCTTTATATGTAGCTAATAGAGATCTGCCTGATGCTGGGATTAGATGGGTGTACCACAATGCCTAGCTGATTTGCTTTTGGGGGAATGTCTTAGTTAGGATTTCTGTTGCTATGAAGGGACACCATGACCATGGCAATTCTTATAAAAGAAAACATTTAATTAGGGCTGGCTTACAGTTCAGAGGTTTAGTCCGTTATCTGTCATGAGGGGAAGCATCACAGCGTATAGGCAGACATGGTGCTGGAGAAGGAGCTGAGAGTTCTACATCTTGATCTGCTGGCAGCAGAAGGAGGCTGCCACACTAGGCCGAGCTTGAGGATATGAGAGCTCAAAGCCGGCCTCCACAGTGACACACTTCTTCCAACAAGGCCACACCCACTCCAACAAGGCCACACCTCCTAATAGTGCCACTCCCTATGGGCCAAGCACTCAAACACATGCGTCTATTGGAGGCCATTCCTATTCAAACCACCACAGGGGGTATTTATGTTTATGTGTATGAATGCTTGCCTGATGTCTGTCTGTGCACCCTAAATGTGCTATGCCTGAGGAGGCCAGAAGAGGGTGTCTGATCCGCTGGGACTGAACTTACAGACAGTTGCCATGTGGGTTGTAGGACTTGAACCTGAGTCCTCTGGAGGAATAACCAGTGTTCTTAACTGCTGAGCCATCTCTCCGGCTCCTCATTTACTTTTTGTACATATGATTTCTTTTTGTTTTATTTTAGATAATGCACTTGAGAATGCTCGACTGGAATTTGAAAAATTGAAAAATAGTCTAATAAAACTGAAAGAAAGTGGTGAGTCATTAGCATATGTAGTGACAATAGATCACACAATAACAATGTGTGTAGTGTAAGCTATTATTTAGGAGCTGAGGAGGTGGGAGGCTCCATGGTTAACGCTTAAGGCTCTTGCGGAGGACCTGAGTTTGGTTGTAGCACCCATGTTGAGCAACTCACAACCACCTGTAACTCCAGCTCCAGGGGATTTGGCACCCTCTTCTGGCCTATGTGGACACTCGCACACATGTACAGACACACAGACACTCACACAGAAAGAAAATAATAAATCTTTAAAATGTTTTTACTGATGAAAATCACAAGTACCACTCACGCAGCCATGGCTGCTCCTGCTGGCGCAGCTGCCGTCAAGTGCTGCCTACGTCACGTGCTACCTATGTCACGTGCTACCTACGTCACTTGCTGCCTACGTCACTCGCTGCCTACGTCACTCGCTGCCTATGGAGCAGCAGCTGCTCTGCCAGGAACTTTCCGTGATTACCTTTAAAACTCCTAACAAGTCAGGTACTGAATAGAATTATCCCCCTCTCATAGATCAGGATGCTGAATCGCAGCAAGGTTAACTGAGTTATCCATTAACTACAAAAACTATCACAGCTGAGGTGTGAATCCTTATATATCTGATTCCAAAACCTGTCATCAGGACAAAAAACTTGGACTGTACAGAGACCACTGAAGCCAAGGGCCCTTGCAGTCCACGCAGCAATACCTCACGCCTTTGTCCCCGGGAAAGCCAATAGGCTTGGAATGGTGTTGAATGACTTAATCTGACACTGCTACTAGCTATTGCAAAATTTGGATATTTCAATGGTCATAACAAAAATGATTTCTGGCATGTTTTTATTCATTTTAAATAATTCCAAAATTAGTTATTCCTTCCTTTCTAAATATAGGAATATGATTGTGAACTCAAAAGTGCTTATGGCAACTCATAGGTCAAGTAACTCATAAAACCAGTAAGGCTGCAGAAGATTTAGAGGTGCTTCAGCCAGAAGTCCTGGGTGGTACTTGTAGAAAACACTAGAAAGCACATACTTTTCATACACCCGTGAAATGTTTGCCAAGAGAGGATCAGACAAGTCACCTCTCCAATCACATGGGATTAAACTAGAAATCCAGGACAGGAGCATACTGGAAAAAGTTCCCAAATATTTAAAAAGTAAAGAGGATGCTTCCAAAGAGCCTCTCTTGTCGGAGAAAAAGTCACAAGAGATACCAAAAAATACTTTGAATTGGTGAAAATGGAAAGAGGACATTATCAGTGTTTGTGCAATACTGCCAAATCTGTGGCTTGAGGGCCAAATCGGTGGCTGGAGGGCCAAATCGGTGGCTTGGGGGCCAAATCGGTGGCTTGAGGGAACCTCATGGTACTTAATGTTTACACCAGAAATCATGTAAGGCACAAGGCAATCTAAAATTTTAGAATAAGAAGAGTGAATGAAATCTGAACCAAGCAGAAAGGAGAAGCTATTAAAATAGAGCTGAGCTGGGCGGTGGTGGCTCACGCCTTTGAACCCAGCACTCAGGAGGCAGAGTCAGATGGGTCTTTGTGAATTCAAGGTCAGTCTGGTCTACATTACAAGTTCCAGCCCGGCCAAAGCTGCATTAGACCCTGTCTCAAGAAGAGGGGGGGAGGAGTTAGTTAAGGACCAAGGAGAAGGCTCAGCAGGAAAAGTGCTTGCCACAAAAATCCCCGAACCCAACTCACAATTAAAAAGATGCAGTGGTGCACATCTGTAATCTTGAGGAAAGCTTGAGGAACAGTGCACAGTGTTGCAGCAGAGACAAGAAGAGAGCCTGCTCGGAACAGGAGGAAGGAGAGGACTGACTGCTAAAAAGCTGTCCCTCGCCTGCACTCCTCAGCGACATGTCCAGGCACACGCCTGCACACACTCACACGCAATAATAAATAAAACAACGTTCAGGAGGCAGAGGCAGGACTGATGCAAGTTTCAGGCCCGCCTGGTCTATGCTGTGACTTCCCAGACAGCTAGGGCTACCTAATAAGACCCTGTCAGAGGAAGAGGAGGGGAAGGGAGGACGGAGGAAGAGGAGGGGGAAGGGAGGATGGAGGAAGAGGAGGGGGAAGGGAGGACGGAGGAAGAGGAGGGGGAAGGGGGGATGGAGGAAGAGGAAGGGATCCTAAATGCATTAAATTGAATCGTTAGAAATCTTCTATAAAGAGAGTTCCACAGTCGGGCAGCTTCACACATGAATCTAACACATATGTTAGGAATAAGTAATACTGGTTTTACAACTTCCAAAAGGTCAAAGAAGAATTCCCAAACTTTAAGTGACCAGCATTACTACACCAAAACCAGGTGCTATCAAACACCCCAGATTAACACATAAATACTTGGAAAAGACAGAGAGTGGGAAGCAGCTTGTCGGGTGGTCAAATTGATTGCACTCACCAAGAATGGACTGGTTAGTGACTGTTTAGTGAACGCCTCAATGCTGTTAATAAGACTGCTAAGTGGAGGACCCAGGATACCTGACACCCTCACACAGACATACATGCCGGCGGGCTGGAGAGATGGCTCAGAGGTTAAGAGCACTGACTGCTCTTCCAGAGGTCGGAAGCTCAATTCCCAGCAACCACATGGTGGCTCACAACCATTTGTAATGAGACCTGGTGTCCTCTTCTGGCCTGCAGACATACATGCAGGCAGAACACTGTATACATAATAAATAAATAAATCTTTAAAAAAAACCCAATGCACATAAAATATAAATAAATAAATAAATAGATAGATAGACAAATAGATAAATAAATAAATAAACAAACAGCAAGTGTCATGAAAAAAAAAAGAATATGTCAGGGGCTTTAAAAAAATTTACACCCAGCTAAAATTTCAGCTCCAGGGCCATTGAGATGGCTCAGTGGGTTAAGGCCATCAAACTTGATGACCTGAGTTCAGTTCCCAGGACCCATACGGTTGAAGGAGAGACCCGATGCCCAGTTATCCTCTGACATGCATGTGCACACCACACTCAAACACACAGAAAATAAAGAAATGGTTGGTGTTCCCAGAACCCTGTATTTCCGGAAACTCTATACTCAAAAAGTCTTGAGTGAGAAATACAAAGCCTTCTGTTCCGTTACAGTAGCTGGGAGGGTATGGCGGTGTGGTGACTCTCCTGTGAAGACAACCAAACAACCACAAATGCAGACAACCACTTACGCGGAACTCAGCAGACTGGCACTCATGAGCGTTTAGAGCGAGTGCCTCCCAAAGGAAAACTGTGACCCATGTAGTAACTGCCTTCTTCTCTGTTTAGATGCAACTGACTTACAGAAAGCAAGAGAACATAACCAGAGGCTAGACGAGGAAATTCTGGCTTTGAGAAACCGGGTTCGATCGCTTGACTCCGAGAAAAAGGTGCTTGGAGAAATGGTCAGTGTGCTTTGGTTCCTAGAGTTTACTTATGTGTCTCCAATAGCAACCAGTGGTGTGAGCTTGCTCTAAGTTGGCCCTTTTGGAGAACTGGTTCTAACAATTGTTGCGTGTCAAGGTACAGAGGTGGTGTGTTCTCACCCAGTGTGCTTTAACCCCTCAGTGCTTATGTGTGATTTTAAGTCCTTGTTCTGAACAGTAGCATCACTGCTGCTGTATAAAGGCCAGGTTTGTTTACTTGTTTTGTTGTGTTTATATGTATGGATGTTTTGCCTGTATGTATGGCTGTGGATCGTATACATGTAGTACCCAAGGAGGCCAGATGGAGGCGTCAGATCCACTGCATAAAGATCATTATAAACTGCCATGTGGGTGCTCAGAACTGAATGCAGGTCCTCTGGCAGAGCAGCAAGTGCTCTTCACTGCTGAGCCAACTCGCCAGTTAACACAGTCACCAAATAAAAACATTACTTTTATTTTTGTAAAAGTTTGTGGTTATTAATATGGCATTCACAGTTGTATTATTTTTTAACCATTTCTTCTTGGCAGTCTATTGATTTTTAATATATACTTTCATATGTAGTATTTCCAGCTTCAGATTGTATTAGTTTCATAACCATATTTATAGTATTGAAAACAGTGCAAAGTACTCAAGAAACTTTGTTTTAAAAGTTAAAAAAAAAACCCTGCATTTGGACTTTCCTTTGGGCTGCCAGCTC